ATTTCGAAATTAGGGTTTAGGGTGTAGAATCTTACCTCTAGGATGAAGACCTAGTGAGCTTCCCTTCTTAATCTTCCAAAACTTGAACAAGAATTGAAGAAAAATTATTGAAGAATACCTTCTCACTCTAGGATACTCTCTCTCACTCTAAAATATCATATTATGTCTCAAAAATGGCCCAAAGAGTGTATTTAACGAAATAGGGGTCGAGTTTTAAAAACCCAAAAATGGAGCTCCGGAACAAGGTATGTGATCGCATAACCGATATGCGGACCGCATATCGGTCGCATAGTTGGTTACAAAATAGCCAAAAGAACTGCCTGTATATGCGGTCACTATGCGGTCCGCATAACTGTTATGCGGTCACATAATGCACTGCATAACTGTTATGCAGTCGCATAATGCACCGCATAACAGTTATGCGATCGCATAGTCGACCGCATAGTTGCTTCCAACTGACCCAATTAACTGCCTCACTCTGCGGCCATTATGCGGTCCGCAGAGTGGTTCTGCGGTCGCATAATAGACCGCAGAAATGCTCTTTTCTGCCAAATTTTTTTTTTTACTTTTCGGTGCATTGTTCAATCCAAAAAGTCCGAGCCAGAATTTCTACAATCCTCAAACACGTAAGCCTAGTCCAGCACTATGAAACATTATTTTCCTTGCATATTTTATCGGGCTTTACACTTAAGTACTTGAAAATTTTTCGGGGTGTTACATTCTCCCCCGCTTAGGATCATTCGTCCTCGAATGAGGGTAAATATCCGTTATTAGCATCTTATGCAACTCGGTTTGTTTCATACCATATTCGAGCAACCCCATATTTGACTAACTCCCAAAATTTTCAAAACGTTCACTAGACTTTCCCTTGTAACTAGGCCTATCCACCTGTCAGATAGCCCCAGAAATACATCCTAACAACATATACGTATTCCAACGACGTAACATAATACAAAACAACACCAAATGTGGTCTCATAAGCAATATATATATCCAGAAAGGAACACTCTTAATGCCAATTGTTCACATGATACAAAATTCATAAAAAGTAAGTCTTATAATTTTTTTTTCCTAGATCACAACTTTAAATACATGGTCATTCAAACAAATAAGGATACTTTTTCTTCATTTCTTCCTCGGCCACCCAAGTAGCCTCTTCAACCTGTTGGTTTCGCCACAACACTTTCACGGAGGCAATTTCTTTATTTCTCAATTTCGGACTTGCCGATCAATAATAGAAACCAGAATCTCTTCGTAAGTTAATTTCTCATTTACCTCAATGGTCTCAACCGGAACAATGAGTATCGGATCTTCAATTTTTCCCAAACTTTATATTTCACATCCAAACATCATATATAGTCATATCATGACTTTAAACTCATTTAAATCATGATTAACAAGTTTCATATTCATCTTAACTTACTTAAGATTTCGGTAAATCTTTTTTATCCTTGTAGAAGGATTTCGTCCTTTTTGAGCTTACATTAGATAATTCTATAATGACAGTGACGTCTGAAGTACGTGGTGTAAAATGTACTCTTAGAAATATTTGTCCCCGAATAATAACTCTTAAAGGCTTGCGAAAATGGGACACAACATTATTAAATCACTTTATATACTTTCAAAGAGGATCTCATTTTCAAGCTTACATCAATTGACTTACGACGTACTTTCATGTAAAAAAAAAATGGGGTGTAACAATTGGCCATGACGCAATATCATCCTTGGCACGTTGGCCGTATTTCATATTCTATACTTGTTGTTTCACTTTCAAACATCATCACGGATCGTCAACAACAAATATTTCTATTCAAGACTTTAAATACACATTTGAGCAACTAACCAAATTAAGGGTCTTAGGCACATGTGATTTCTTACACAATTCGACATGCTAATTTTTATTAGAATTACGTTTTTAAATCATAACATATTAACACACAGCCCATGCTTAATCACCTTCTCAAGTAGTAACTCAACATAACAAGAACATTTGGAATACAATTGAACACATATATCTTTCGATACAAGGCTTATTCGAAATAATCATTTTATAATGAGCAACACGGGACTTACAAGGATATTGTGGGGTTCAATTCTAAGAGAAGAGTTTAGCCAACATACCTTGCCTCGAGCTTTTTAAATTACTACAATATTCCGGAAATCTTAGCCACTTCGATCTATTTAGAGATATAGCAAAATTGAACACAAATTAGGAAGGAGTTCATAGTTCCAGCTTACTTGAGTATTTTTATCAAACACTAGGTGTGCATTAAGGTTTCAAGGTCCTCTTATGGTGGATTCTTTCACCCCACTATTCAAAGTTTATCCAAAAGAGCTCAACAATCTTCCCACTACCCTTGATGGTACATGCATGTAAAATAAACAACTCTCACACCCAAGAATTGCTTGGCTTATTACCTATTTTCAGTTAAAATCACGAAATTGAGGGTTATGGAGTAGAACCTTACCTCTAGGATGAAGACCTAGTGAATTCTTCTTGCAAATTCTTCAACTTTGAGAAAAAATTGATGAATGGTGAGCTTAAGAACTTTCCCTCTCACTCTATGGCACTCCCTCTCTCTAGAAATATATGTTTTTCCCTTTTAAAATGATCCCCAAGGCTGTTTTATAAGAATGAGGACGGGTTCAAAAATTAGAAAAAATGAAGCACCGATGCAGGTCTGCGGTCGCATATGCGACCGCATAATACTTTTGCGGTCTATCTCCGGAACTGGGCACTCCTGCCTCACTCTGCGATCGGTCTGCGGTCCGCAGACCTATTCTGCGGCCGCAGAACGTTCCTCTGAAATTTTTTATGTTGGATCTGCGAGGGGTGATGCGGCCCGCAAAATGATTATGCGGTCGCATAATGGTCCAAAAATTTTGCCCAAACTTCTGCCTCGATCTGCGGCAGATATGCGGTCCGCAGATCAGTTCTGCGACCGCAGAATAGACCGTAGAAAACGCCCTGTATTTCTAAATTTTTCTTCAACTCCCCAACGCACTGTTCAACCCAAAAAGTCCGAACCGCGGCGGCACCACGAAACCCCGGATCTTAGGTAAAATTTTACGGGGCCTTACATTATTCGGTTCGGTAACTTCGATTTATTCGGTTTGAATACTAACAAATGCATAGAGTCATAAACTATAATATTCTTAATTAAAGTACTCAAAAATACAAAACTAAAAACAACAAAAGTTTTGTCCAAACCCAGCAAATGTCAACCTAGATAGAGAAAATTGCACATAAAGGAATAACTTTGATCATTAGAAATATCTTCTTACTTGCTTAGAGTTAATCGATGAACTTAGAGAATAAAGGAAAGTAAAATTTTAAAATTTTTTTATTTATGTTATAATTAATAATATATGTTTTGTGTAATATAATATATATTTCGGTACGGTATCGGTATTTCGGTATTTAATTTTAAAATACAAAATACCATACCTAATATCATATTTTTTTAAAAACATAAACCAAATACCATACCGAATACCAAAAAATTGAATATCAAATATCAAAATTTTCGATTTCGGTATGGTAATTCGATATTTATCAAATTAAACACGGCTCTAGTTTTGGCACCAAGATAAAAAGCAAAATAAAACACGATAATGGGATAGTTAATCAATATTACTTTCGCTTCAAAGGAAATAACGAGATTCGGCAAACGAGCTTTTGCTGAGAATTTCTGAATTTTTTTTCTTCTTATTCTGTTTGAAATATAATTTACATATTAAAAAAATGTAATCGTGATGAAAAATATTATTGACTCCTTATCAATAGTAGTGTCATTTTCTTGAGATGCTCTTTTGAATAGTAAATTCAATATTTTCTGCGTGGAATTAAGTTGTATATAAACATTTTAGAGATTATTCAAGAATATCATTGTTGTAGCAGATTAGTTAATTACCATTTTTATTGGGTTATCAGCTAATAATTATCATAATAATTTTCTCTGTGATTACTTTATAGATAACTTGATTGTATAACTATTTTTGTGCTAAAAGTAAACCCTATACGAATAAGTCAATATGTCTTATTAAACTTTATTTACAATTCTTATTTTTACCACAGCAATCCAAAGGTCAAACAAGCATCCACACGACCACACCCAAACTAAGACCTCTCCTTTTCCAGTTTGTACTATAAAAAAAACCATACTAAATTCTTTCGGCTTTCGGGAGCCCACATTTCGTTACCTACTTACCACATTAGTCAAATCCTATATGTGAAACGCATGACTATTTACTTGTTTTCATTAAATAATTTGGCATTCTCGTAAATAATTTCCACCATTATGGGCAGAGTTAATATATCTTAATTATTTACTAGGGCAAAAAACACGTTGTTTGGTCTACCAACATTTGCCCGAAAAGCTTAGTTATCCGTGGTTAAGTATCCTGGAATAAGCTTAACCATGGTTAAGTTATTGTCTCCCCCTTTTTAAGCAGCCTTTATAAACAATCTAAGATAGAGCAAACAAGAAGACGAAAGAACAAGTTATCAAGGATAGAGAGAAATTCACAGCATATATAGCTTATTATGATGGCGTTTTATTTAGATGAAGAAGAAGTGTGGAGATGTCCAAAACACCCTTCGAAGCGACGGAGGAATGGAGTTTGCCCGGTTTGTCTCAAGGACAGGCTCGTCATTCTTTGCCCTGACTGTGCTAACGTACGCCCCTGTGCATGCTACGCCTCTGCGTCGTCGTCTTCTTCCTCCGCTTCCTCTTCGTTTTCTCTCTTCTCCTCATCCTCCGGTCGTAGCGGCGGAGGAGGAGCAGGTGGTGGTTGTGAAGGAATTGGCTCCGTTGCACGAGTTTCGAAGCTTATAGAAAGTGAGCCGGCGTTCCAGAGATCAAGATCCGTCGGAATTCCGTTCCTCCGATCCCGAGACAAAAATTCTGCCGCCCGGAGAAATCAGCCGCCGATTTGTAACG